ATAAATTTGAGTGAATAATTGTGTTAAGTCATTGCCGAACTATAATTAATATATTACTGTTATGTATTCTTACTTTTGTAGTTATGCCGAAGCATACTTCATAATATATTAATGTAATAAGCCTCTGTCGAATATAGGTTTCACTACAACTATAAAAGATAAAATGTCTATTTGATTTCCAAACCTCATTGTAGAATTATCAATTTGTATTATTTGGAACAATTATAATATGTTAAACTATTTTATTATTATCTTTAAAACCAATTTAAATTCTAGTTATTCAAACTACGTGGTGTCAAAACCAATTTCATAAGCAATGCGCAAGCCTTTCAACTAGTTAAATTATATTAGGAAACAATATTTTGGTTACTTTTTTTTCTATTAATTTGGTTAATCATTTTGGGATTATTGTCGCGACTCGCGAGGTTGAAACTTGAAAGTAGATGATACTAATTAAAAAACAGCAGTCATGTGACAAATACAATGATCATCATGTTATCGTGATTTAATTTTTGACAATTAACAGCATAAAGTTTGAGTTAGAATATATTAATATATTACAATAAGAGAAAATGTTAAAACCTTATGCAATTAGTCTTATATAATTAAAATAACTGTTTGATTTATAATAAATACACTGTCACAACATTCTTTTACCCCTAAGGGTGTGTTTTCAAGAAATATTGTATTATTGGGAATGTTATATTAATGAAAAGATAGATTACCTTGAGATAACGTTTGGTTTTGGGTGATATAAGATTAATCCTATAATCTTTATTTAGTTTTCAAGATTCCCTCATTTGGTTGTCAAGTAATAAAATATTACGTAATCTTTTATTGTAAATAGTGTTTACTGTTGGTAATATTGGGGGTAATCAGATTACCTTCCCAAGGGGTGTTAATATAAGATTATTGAGGTAATCTTAATTTTGACCTTAATCTTTTATCATTTCAGACACATTTGCCCTTATATGTCTACCAAATAACAATTATCCAGACCCCCTACATTTGAAAATTTAGCTAAAACACCCCGCCACAAAAAAGTTTAAAAATTAACAAAATACCCCAACCACCCAAGACCACTGCCGGCTGCCGGCGAAAGTAATCATATCGGCACAAGACTGGCAGGATCTTGCTGGTCGTGTGCTGATAAGGACGTTTCCAGCCATGGATTTGTGATCCATGGTCGGAAATGATCAAATTTGGTCATTTCATAGCCAAAGATGTGGCTGTGAAATGCCATAGATCTAGCCATGAAAATGCCAGATCTTTGGCCGTGAAATGGTCACCGATTCACGGCCACATCTTTGACAGTGAAACGGCCATATTTACGGCCAGATCTGGCTGGATTAGGCCTTATCGACGCACGACTAGCCAGATCCGGCCGATCGTGCGCCATTACGGTGGCTTGGGGTGAGTGGGGGTGATTTTACTACAAATTAAAGTTGTATATGGTTGTGGTGTTTTAGTAAAATTTCAAATATAGGGGGGTTAAAAGAAATAATTTAAAAAATAATAACAAATATTATTATATTATTATTTAAAAAGGTGGGCAATTTAGTAATCTACATAACATATCCACTCATTTATCCTCCAGACTAAACATATTATTATAATATACCCACCAATTTATTCCAATTGACCAAACACATTTCTCTAAAGATTCCCTAGCAATATATATTTCCAGTAATACAACATTCCTCAATAATATAACATTCCTTGAACCAAACGCACCCTGAAGATTACTAGGAATGTTGGGAAATGTGTTTGGTTAGGTTGGAATAAATTGGTGGGTATATTAATATGTTTGGTCGGCAGGAATAAATTGATGGGTATGTTAAATAAATTACCAAATTGCCCTCCTTTTTAAATATTAATATAATATTATTTTTTGAATAATTTCTTTTAAATCCCTACGTTTGAGATATTGCTAAAACACCCTAGCAACAAAAAAGTTTAAAACTTAACAAAAACACTCTTACCCATCCTAAGTCACTGCAGTTGGCTGCCTGTCACCATCGTCAGTGGCGGTGGAAGTGGCTGTAACGGTGTACTACTGGTCAGATCTAGCCAGTCGTGCGCCGATACGGCTATTTTCGGCCAGATCCATGAGAAATTGTCAGATTTACGGCTAGAGATCAGGTTGTCATTAAGGGTCAAAAGATGTAGATCTAGTCAAAAACGGTCAAAATATATCTGGCCATTTCCAGCCATATCTATGTCCATCTGGCCGTTTCTGGCCATCAATATGGCCGAAAATGACCATATTGGCACACGACAGACATTTCCAGCAACGGTCGACAGTGGTTGGCCAGTTGTCGGCGGTGATCTTGGGTGGCCTGCAATTTATTTTAAATATAAGGATATTATTGTCCAAAAACTTAATGAAATAGGGGTAAAATTGTAATGGCAGATTGATGTATATTAATTTCAAAATAAGGGCATTATTGTCCAAAAAATTTATTAGTAAGGGGTAAAATTGTAACAAAAATAAGATTACCAAGTAATCTTAAAATACAACACCTAAGAAAATGGAGATAATCAGATTACTTTATATATTACCAACAGTAAATATTATTAGTTTTGGAAGATTACCGAAATCTTATATTATTTGACAACCAAACGTGATAATCAAGTAATAAAAGATAACATTACCTCAGTAATTGGGATTAGCTCCAACCAAACACGTTGGGATTAGCTCCAACCAAACACGCCCTAAGAGTGTGTTTGGTTTCGGGAATATTTTATTACTTAAGAAATATGATTACCTTAAAGATATATTACCTTGAAGATTAAGGAGAATATTATATTATATGTGTTTGATTAGATTGATTGGTATAAATAATTAATATGTGTTAGTTGGGGGAATAAAAAAATTATGAGAGAGCCATTTACTCAATTACCTTTCTTTTTAAATACTATTATTATTATTTAATTATTTAGATTGTTCCTTTTACCCCCCTAGATTTGAGAATTTAACTAAAGCACCCCAACCAAAATAAAAGCTTAAAATTTAACAAATAACCCCTGGTCACCCAAGATGACTGCCGACAACTAGTCACCACCGCCAGCAATCGTTGAAATGACGCATGATCGGCCGGATCTGGTCGACCGTGAGCCGCTCTGGCTGTTTTTGGCCAGATCCATGGCCGTTTCCAACTAGATCCATGACTATTTCCAACCATATCTATGGTTGTAAACAACTAGATCCATGGATCCATGGTTGGAATGAAACAGCTAGATCCATGGATCTAGCAGCAAACAACCAGATCAACGCATGACCAACCAGATCTAGTTAATCATGCGTCGTTTTGGCGACTACCAACGACGGCTGGCAACTGGTAGTCATCTTAGGTGGTTGGGGTGTTTTGAGTGATATTCATGTAAATAGTTTTCATAATAAGGGCATTATTGTCTAAAAAATTAATTATTTAGGGGTAAAATGGTAACATGTATTGTGGAGTAGTTCTGTTCAAAAAAATTAATTTATGAGATTATTAAAGTCATTTCGTACAGTTGGGCTAATTGTTATTTGGTAGACATGCGAGGATATTTGTGTTTGACATAGTTATTAATTAAGGGCAAAACATGAACAAAATTAAGATTACGCTGGTAATAACAGAATAACACCCCTTAAGACGGTAATCTAATTACCCCATATATCACCTACAGTAAACATTACTGACTACCGACTTTGTAATATTATCGAAATCTTTTATTACTTGATAGTCAAATATGAGAATATCCTAAATAATTAAAGATAGATTACCAGAGTTATCTTCCTACAACTCTACCCAAACGCACCCTAAGTTCTTTCTTAGTGGACAAGATTGAATCCTAAAATGAAGATTAATTTTGAACCCTGAAGCGAAAGTCGTAGGCAATATCAGGTTAGTTCTCAATTATCCATTATCAACCCAAAAGCTAAACTGTATATGGGGTTGACCTGCCGTCTCAATTAATGTTAAAGCATTATTTTCCATTTTCATCGATTGTTACCCTTTTTAAACAAATTATCAAATTCACGTAAATTGTAAATTGTAATAAAGTAATTACTCTCCATCAAATGCATGATAAACACAATAAATAATCATTATGTTCTCATGATTTATTATTGCTAATGTAAGTTGGAGTTGAGTTGCCGTGTTGATTATGAGTTTAAACTTAAATTTAAATTTCATATAATTATAACAATCACATAATTAAGATATTGTAAGAAATATATTATCTTATCTTATTTAACAAAGAAAACTAATTTATGTTTATATATCAAGCCTGATCTGAAGTCTTGACTTTTATAAATGAAAGTGAAATATTAGTTTATAAATTAATATGAAAATTGAGGATTGATTACTATTTTGTTGCATTACCAAATTCTGGTGGCATTGAACATTGAATTAGTTTATGTTGATAGCAATGGAACAATCTAGCTTTTCATTAAGGAAAATGATAGAGCTACTGAAAAGTGTACACCGAAATTATCGAATGACGTGACAAAATCCTGACCGTTGATTAGTATTAATTTATAATAAATCAATGGTCATGATTTTGTCACGTCATTCGGTGCACACCCGTCAATAACTGTAGCATTACTCTTTCATTAATAACTATAAGCACTTGTTCGAAACTAGAAGAAGTCCCAAGTGGATCCCTAATCCTAAATATAATGGATAAAGTAGAAAATGACCCTTTTTTTTTTTTTTTTTTTTTGTCCAGATCAATTTACATGCACCTAAATTAATTCTTTAGTTAGGACTCTAAAATTATCGATCAAATAAAAACTCCAGTGACTACTTCTATTAACACTTAATGAGAAATTCAAACTCAGAACCTCTTAAATAATACCTTTAAGAGTTCTTATCGAACCACCCTGCCAGTCAGAAATAGTTAAAAAATGACATCCATTCCTATCAACCTCGGAATTTAATACGACTCACCAAAAACACCCATTAAATGACAAAATTATATACAATTTTGCATCATTTCCAACGGTTGTCATTTACAGTTGTTATTTGATTCCATTAACTAAACAACCAAACAAAACATTACATGCACGGCTGATGATGGGTATCTTTCTTTTCTTTAATAAAATACAAGGAATATATCTATCCATAACTAAAGCAATTAAAAGAAACGCAAAGATGAGAAAAAAAAAAAAAAGTTAAAATAAATAAAGAAAGATTAAAAAGAAAGTGATGATGGGTTACTCTACGAGACAAGAAATAAGTGGGATTCTCTGCCCTATCTCTTACACATTTACCCCCGCTTCTTTTTTGTCCATTTTTTTAATTATTTTTCTTTTTCTTTTCTTTTTGCTCTGTACATCACAAAAACATGGTCCCGCTCTAAAATCACTTAAGTTGAATCCCCACGCGAGTTCACTGCGGGTGAACCTCAATAACTGAGTAAATTAACTCAAGTCCACTGACGGACGTATGTCTTTGAGCAAACCCAGAACTTGTTGCATGGTGGGCCGTTTCCCAGGTGATTCCGCCGTGCATAAGTACCCGACTCGGAGACTCTCCACCATCTCACTCACTGAGTCAACGGCACCGAGTGTCAATCGTGAATCTAGCGCGTCCGCTGCAGCTCCTTCCTTTACCATCCTCCTGACCCACTTAATACATTCTTCTGTCCCTTCCTTTCCGGTCAGAAGCTCAATCAAAACCGCACCGAAGCAATAAACGTCAGACTCAGGGCTGTTTTTGTTATTTTCACTTCGTTCTCCTACATTCTTGGATCCGATTTGGCGAAGCCCAGAATCGGCGATTTTGGGCTCGCAGTTTTCCGCGAGAAGGACATTGGAGGCAACAAGGTGACCGTGTGTGGACCCCACGTGGTGGAGATAGGCGAGCCCTCGAGCAACACCAGTGGCAATACGGTGGCGCATGAGCCAGTTTGTTTTTTCCGGGGAGGATACATGAGACCCGGTGCCGTTGTGTTGCTCCCATGTGTCAGTGCTCCAGTCCTCCACGTTAAGTTCTCCCGTTGGCAGCTCGTGGAGCCACCTACGCAAGTCGCCGTTCGCCATAAATTCGTACAAAACTAGCTTCTCCCGTCCTAAAAGAGTAAAAGTCACCATAAATCATGAAAAACACCTGTTAGTTTTAAAATATTTTTCAAATTTCATACATATTAATTAATCTGTTAATTCAAAAAAAAAAAACACGAATATCTAAATGTGAATAATGATGGCTTGTGTTAGATTTACGTGACACTGTGTTGGAATATAACAGTCTACGGAGTACGACACTCAAGCATTGAAGTCAATCCCGTGATCTCATTTAATATGTTAGTTCAATTACTGAAAAAAAAAAAAAAAAAATTAGAAACACGATTGGTACGGTACCTGCAATACAATAACCGGAGAGAGGCAGCAGGTTAGGATGTTTAAGCCTAGATAGGTCGTCGAAGATGGCTATAGCATCATCAGGATCAATGTCTTTGGCAGTTTCTAACACTTTGATTGCTACGTGGAGGTCACCTGGAAGAACGGCTCTGTAGAGGGGGCCACATCTGCCCTCGGCGAGCAATGAGTCTTTACCAAAGTGTGACGTGGCAGCAATCAGGTCCTTGAAGGTTAGGTTCAATAATGGCTTGGAGCACATGACCACTGGAGCTGAGGTTGGTTCTTTGATGTCTGCCACCCATGATGTGCCTGACTCGGTCTCAAAAGCGAACGGCCCTGATTTCTCCATCTTGAAGGGTATTTGTTGAACCGGTTTGGAGATTGCCCATTTGTTTCTTCTGGCTAATATTCTTTTCCTTCTATACATGCAAAAGATAAAAGCAGCCACCGATACAAAAACAAAAGCGGATGAACATGATAAACCAAGAATTAAAGCTTTGGCTTTTGATTTGGATTTATCACTTTTCTTCTGTTTCTTGGCGGGGTTGTGTTTTTGGACAATTTCATGAGGTGGGGTTCTTGAATGTGGCAAATGAATGTGATTGCCTGGGGTTTTTGAAGTATTGGAACCATTGAAATTTCCACCATGAATAAAAGCAGATATTCCGAACTTTTGGTACTTCTCAAGGCCAATGGAACCTGTGAATTTGTTGAGTGAAATATTCAAGAACTTGAGAGCATCAAGTGGAGGGAAATCAGAAGGGAAAGTACCGTTCAGGGAGTTATTTGATACATCTAAATACTCCAATGAGTGAAGAGACGAAACGGGTTTTATATTGCCTAAAATTTTGCAGCTCGAAATGGCAAGGTGCTTTAAATTGGTGAGGTTAGTAAACCCAGACGGCAAAGTTCTTAAATCATTGTGTGAGATATCAAGAACTTTAAGCCTCGAAAATCCAGAGAGTTTAACCAAGTTGGTGAACCTATTGGTTGAGAGATTAAGCACCTGCACCAAAGAAGACGGACCATTTCCCGAGGTGGTTTCAAAACCAATGGTCCCTCCAAATCTATTTTTTGATAAATCAGCTTGAGTTAAACTTTGAATAGACCAAAACCAACCTGGAACGGAGCCTTGAAGAGAATTATTTGAGAGATCAATGGTATGCAGCTGAGATATGTTCCTCAAAAACTTCCATGAAATGATCCCGCTGAGACTTCTGGACGAAAGGTTTAGCTCCTTTATTGGAGGATGGGAACAGTTGAGCTGAACTGGGCGTTTGAGCATAGAGATGTTGAAATTTGAGACTGACTTGAAAGCTATGTAGACATGCTCTTGGTCTCTGCTATTGCATGAAGATTGTACCAGCACAACCAGCGAGAAGAGAAGAAACAATCTGCAAAAAATGGCTTCCATCTCTCTTTTACTTCAGGTATAAACTTCTTCTGTATTTCATACTGAAAGAGGTAGGGAGAGAGAAGAAGCTTAATAGAAGAAATGGTGTGGAGAGAGATTCAGAAAGAGAGAGAGAGAGAGAGAGAGAGGAGTTGTTTTAGTTTCACTGAAAAGGGGGGCGTATAGTGAAGTAGGGCTCGACGGCGTTAAACTTAATGGGAGAAGGAAGAAGAAGAAGAAGATGGAGATGTGTGAGCTGACGGTTGACTGGAGCGACTCTTGTCTTGACAATAATATAGTCGGTTGGTGATGACTGCGGTGATTGCTGCAGACATATATGGTAAATGACCTTTTCACCCACGGTGAAATGTGAAACTAAAATGAAGTCAAGCTTTTTCATCTGTTGTTGTTGTCGCTGTGTTGTTATATTGGTTGGACTGGTGGAACTACACCTTTACTTTAAATTAGCCCAATTTAGTTGATAAAATGACCCCACTTAACTCTCTCCCAATGGGCTCCTCCATGATACATACGGTGTGCAACTTCATAAGTTTCAATCCGGATTCAACATTCAGTATTCATCGTGGAAGCCATGTGTCAATTCTTAATTAATCCTGTGTTGCCAATGTTGAAATTCATATAATTGATATGGAAGCCATGTGTCAAATGTGACAATAGGTTGTACAGAAGTTGAATAATATTGTGAATGAACCAAGACAATAATATTGACCCTGACTTTGAATAAAGTAGCTTTTATATATATAAAAGATATGTAATATTCCTTCTCAAGCCCAAGCCAAGAGAAGCCACCACAAAATCACAAATTATCATAATAGATATTAAGACTTGCACGCATCTAACAAAATCATAAATGAATTGATTATCTAACAACATACAAAAAAGTTTTTATATTCATATTGCCATATCACAATTTTTTTTTTTTTTTTTAAATGATTGGAGTGTTTAGACTAATTTACTCATACCTTAACTAATCCTCTCGAAACTCTAGAACTATTAACCGGGTAAAAGCTCTAGTGATTACATATATTAGTAAGGGCACTTCAACTAATCATTTAAGCCTCTGAAACTACTGGTTTGATAAGATTTGAGTTCAAGACCTTTTGAGTTATATATCTAAAGTTTTTATCAAACTACTCAATTATCCAGAGGTAGTTGTCAGATCACAAATTGATATGTCCATAATGCAATGACCTTGACTCAAAAATTGGAGGCAGGCGAACTTGCTCCTCAATCTTCCAAATGCAAATCTCACCTGCTCCCTCTTTCTTGTACATTTTGAATTGTATAGGAGGGAAGTTAAAAGAATTATGCCTAATCCACAAAATTCCAATAGAATGACAACTAAGATTTGAGATTGTTATTAAATAATTATCAACCCAATACACTCCCACCTAAAAGTTGATCCCACAAGAATGTGATGGTCATTAATTAAATTAAATTAAGAGTGCTTTCACATGATGTCCAATTCATAGTACAGCTTTAATTGTAAGTTGTAAGGAGTTGTTAGTGGAGGTTAGGAACATTAATTTGTGTTAAGATTAGGTATTCGTATTTTGAGTAATATTACAGTTATCGGAGGTTGCGCATCGAATCTGTGCACCGAATAACGTGGTTAAATCCTGATCATTGATTTATTATCAGTTAATATTAATCAACGGTCAATATTTTACCACGTCATTCGGTACACAGATTCGATACGCAACCTTCGATGGCTCTATCATTTTCCTCGTATTTTACTACACACCATAAAACCTTTTTGAATACTAATTTAGCAATTACCCTAATATATTTAAGGTGACCATTTCTATTTGTCTCAAAAAAACTTATCCAAGTGCTTTTTCAATACCTCATATCTTACATCAATAATGCTAAACGTACAAACAAATTTTATAAAGATTTTTATACAAACTGATGTAGTAGAAAAAAAATAAAATAATAAATATAAAAAGTCAAACTCATTATATTAACTCTTCTATTCATTTTCTACTATATCAGTTTGTATAAAAATCTTGGTAAGATTTGATTATACATCTTGCATTACTCTATCTTACATAGAACAAGGCTACACGTATAAATTCTCTTACAAAGAGATTTTATACAAGTTGACGTGACATATCAGCGTCAAATGACATGTGAGTCCACATAACACTAATATAATATTAAATAATGTGGGTCTCCTGTTATATGACATTGACATGACATGACATGCCACATCAGTTTATACAAACTCTCTTTTTAAACCCTAAATATGAAGCATAAACGACATTGATCTTAAATCTGTGAAGTGGGACTTGGATTGGAAGCACAAGGCACAACATCACGGGTTGATCCTTTGGCACTTATACTAATTGATGCAGTTAAAAAGCGAAGGCATGAATGAAAATTAACCTATTGCATAGCCTTCCAGGTTTGAAATGTGAGGTAAGTGGACAAGAAGAAGGACAAATATAGGGTTCATCAGCTGAAAAAGCCTGAAACTTGCATAAAACAAGGCGTATATGTTGTTTTTTCTGACTTCAAATCCAGTGAAATGTGACTACACAATATTCACTCTCCACTCCTCATACAAACAGATAAATCAAGAAATTGATGCAGGGGGGAGATATTACCAACATGAAAAGACATATCTTTCATGCGTACGACATCATGAAAAGGTTTGATTTGGTTTTGTTTTTTGTTTTTGCTTTTGTCTTGTGTTTTCAGTTTTCAAACTAGACTTCATAATTTCAGAAGCTGTAGCTGGGCTCATAATATGTGAGGCCCAAATAAGTAAATAGTGCAGGACTCTATACACGAAATCAAATAGAAAGTATAATAAAAACATAAACAAATAAACTATGATCCTTGAGGAATATGTGGGGGTATACAGCATTGGTTTGGATTCATTAATGAAAACAGTTTGAGAATTTATCACTGTCTCCATTGTCAAACCCTGTTCATCGCATTATGTGGCCAATATAACTACTATTTATTATGCAGCACTTGCTAAGATATTTGGGTCCGTCACGAATCTGAACTATTAAATATAGAAGGGTGGAGCATTATATTTCTTTTTTGAGTGGTATTATTTCAGTCTAATTGAATCTCTTTATAAGTCCCAATTTAAATAAAATTATCAACAAAATTAAGTTTTATAAATTTTATCTAATAATTCCAAAAATACCCATTTATATAACGAATGACTAGCAATTACTATACTATATATTAACCATTCACATGAGGTGTGATGTTATTAATTTGTAAAAAAAAAAGGGGTCTAAAGTTCATAACAGAAGGCCTCAATATTATTAATATTCATAAGACATCAAAATTTACCATAGAGATGTCATTTGGTTTGATTAGAGGTGGGCAAGGCTTGGGCCTAGCCAGTCTCCGATCTGGGCCCAATAGGATCAGTTCCAAATTGGGACCGGTCATTAGGACTCGGGCCCAATTTGGTTGGGACTGGTCGTGGGTCAATGAAAATTCTTACGGCTAGAACAGGCCCTAGGACCGACCATTGGCCCATAGTCTAGAAAATTTCTTTTACCCCTTTTAATTTTTTATACATTTGGTAAATTGAAAATTATGTAAGGGGGTTTATCTAAATTTTTTAGGGTGATTTGTAAATTTTTTAATTAATTAGTAAATAAATATAAATGAATAGTTTTAATATAAAGAGATAATTTAATTTTAGCTTTGAAAATTTAATTTGAACTTAAACAATTAAATAAATATAAATGGATAATTAATTGGTTATAAATTTATATGGTTTTAATTTAAAGAGATAATTTAATTTTAACATAAGTATAATGTTCACACCTCACAATGTGCAAATTTAATTTAAACTTAAACAAATAAACAATTAAATAAATTTGCTTTTATTAAATTATTAATTTACAACGTCAAAATTTATATCGTCCAAATCTGTGTTTTTGAAGAGGTTAATAGTTCGGGATTTTTCGGGGTGTTATTGTAGTCTTCTATTTGTATGAGTTAAATCCCATAAACATGTTATGACTTCAACCTTCTCATTGGTTAAAGAGTATCTTCTATCTTCAATAATGCGGCCACTAATTGAAAATGCTAACTCTGATGCAATTGTGGAAACTGGCACACATAAAATGTCACGTGCCATTTAGGCTACAATGGAGAATCGACTTGCATTTTGATTCCACCATTGAAGCAGATCCATCTTGCGGTTTTCCTTCTTCGTTATGTATGATATGTCCATTTGTAGATACTGCTACAACTCATTTGGTCCATGTCTGTACGAGTTGGAGCTGCTACTTCCACCACCACCGCTACTAAGTTCTATATACGTCCACATGCTCGATCCCTATTGATAAATGTCTTCATCAGCTTCTTGCTGGTTGTCTCTGGTGGGCGTACCACTGTACCTATTTTGATATAAAAAAAAAATGCTTTCCAATTTTCTATTAAATTCTATCAAATAAGAACTATAGTCATGTCCTAAATGATGGCCTATCTTAGTAACCATACAATTAAATACGTTTAATTTAAACCTAGGATTTACAATAAGACCTAATCTCTATAAGAATGAAATATCTAACTAATATTTTCGGTATTTTGCTTCCATGTCTGAAACAACAGCTATTAAGTCTGGATTGTATCTATGTTTAGTAAAAGTTTTAGAAATTTGAAGTAAAATATCTAACGCTAAATTAGTAGTGGGATAATAAATACCACTTAATGAATTAGTAGAATCATAAAAAAACTTTAAGAAATAAATGAAAAAGACTACAAACCGTCCATTTGAATCGTTGACGACTTCGTCCGAATAGTTCTTCTGGTTGAAGAACATCAAGTACGTGGAGTTCCAATGGACAAGCATGTTGCGACATAATTTCTTTGGTCGAACCGACGGCTCCTCTTGGCGACAATATTTTACGTACTCATTCCATCTTGTATTGCTATTGGCAATGAATCCAATAGCCGTGCGCATCATTTCAATCCTCGTATGTATAGCTTCTAAATCTACTTTAACAATCAAATTAATGATGTGTCAAGCACATCTCTGGTGAATTTTTTTTTCTTCACCAAGCGGATCCAATCTCTTTTCAAATAAAGAAATTATTGTGGTGTTAGCAGTTGTATTATCAAACGTTAGCCACACAACTCTCTTAGTTAATAAATAATCTTGCAAAACTTCAATAATTGTAAAATAAATAGTCTCAGTACTATGTTTAGTATATAATGGTTTAAAACTTATTAATTTTTGTTGTAGCGCCAATTATGATCTAGGTAATGTAT